ATTTTGACAGTGTGGATTAGCTGGCAGACAAATTATTCTCTTAGCTTTGTGTTTGTTCAGACTGTTTTCCCTCAATCTGGCATTTGGAGATGATTTTGGGTGGTGATGGGGTTCTGAACTTGTGAGCTCTATTCTTCCTTTTGCTCTTCTTTCTGCCACTTTCTTCTCCTGGAGCAGTGCCAGGCTCTTCTCTCTCCTCCCAGGACAATTCCTTAGCCAATCCTTCGTACCGCAGGCTAACGATGCACCTGTCTCACTTCCTACGTCACCAAGACCCCCGCTGATCACACTGCCAGTCACCCTTCTGTCTCATGGCTCTGGTCACTTCCAGGGTAGCACCTTCCCAGCGTTCCTCATGCCTTTTCTGTGCTGGCCTTTCCCTGATTAGCTCAATGAAAAAACACATTCTATCTCCTGTGTTCTTGGCGCTCAGCGAGATACCTGGCACTGCCATAAAAGCACAGGGATGTTTCTCTACCGTGGAATGGATGCCACCGCAGTCCCAGGGACGTCCAGCTTTCCTAGACTTGAAAAGACACGATGAGCAGTCACATGCTGTGAAATACGCCAGGACCATCTGTTTTACAAACACAGCGCTAGGAAACATAAATACAGAAGTGATGCATCTTCAAGATGTGCTTCCAGAGCCTCCGAGTTCGAGGCCATTGCCTCTCCAGCTCTCACCACATTTGCTTCATTCCCCTCCACCCCCAGAGGCTTTGAATGGCCTGCTTTGCCCAGCTGCCACGTGTACTATGCCTTCTCTCTGCAACTGGACTGTGCCAGCACCTTGCAGTCCGGGGCTGTGTTTCCACACGCAGACTGTCAGCTGATTCTGCAGAAGCGCCCTTCAGGTCTGCAAAGGCTGTAGGTGATGCTTTCACCTGACATTGTGCTGAAAGCGAATCAGAGAGTTAGCATTTCTGATTTAATAATGAGATTTTCTAGTTCTCTAAGGACCAAGGGGCCGTGTAATTCCAAAGTAATTAGGATTGCAACCGAGCATTCAGGAAGCAGCAAGTTCCCACTAAGGACACTGTTGTGGGTGGGGGAGGCCTGTCCTGGCCCTTCTCTACCTCTCTGCTTGTTTATACGCATTGCCTTTCCAGTTTATGAGCCCTGGAGTTTGCATCGCAATGAAGTGCACGTATCCCCTGCCCACGCGTCTCTGGCTGCAGAACACCAGTGCCATAACAGAAAGCAGCAGGGCAGAATTTTTTCTTAAAGATTTGTTGGTGTTCTTTTTTAAAAAAGCCTATTTTTTGCACATAAATATTTATGCCTGTTGCCAGGTTGAAGCTCCGTTTATTAGAAAGCAACCTTTGATTAGTCTGGGGTCTGAATTGGTTCCTATCAATTGCATTTACCATTTATTATGGTAAGATTGATGGGGACCCTGGAGGGAGGAAAGCCTGCAGCTCGTTTTCATAGTCTGAATCCATTCCTAAAAGCAGAGAACGGTTCAGCCCTGGAGAACGTCCACACTGGCTGGGATGACTTACGGCCTCCGGCTTTGGGGAACTCGGGCATCTTGCCAAACCATGCATACCTGTGAGACACGAACGCAGTGTAGGCATTGCTCTCCTTGATGGGATAGCATTTTAAAGATACGGTACTGTTCTGACACATTCACGGTTCTGCAAGGCATAGGAGTCAGTGGGACAGTTCTCGATGTGGGAGCATGTGGAGGGCTGAGGATCTGAAATTTTTTGCATGCTTTCAGGGTTTATCCAATGCATACAGTTGAATAGGAACTTGTGCTTGGGAATGAGTGTGGTACCTGCATGCAGGAGGCTACAGCCGCATTCCACAGGCTGAGAGTCATTGCTGCAGGAGACAGAGCTTCCACAGCTGTCTGTTTCCATCTCTGCACCTGCTGTGTCTAGAGCATTTAGAAACCCTTAGTTTGCGTCTTAAAAAGATTCTAAATGTGTGTGCCTGCATTGTTTCTTTTATTTACTCTTGGTTGGACAGTTAAGTTCCTTCAGTGCCATTTTCATTTTTATTTAATGTTATTTTATTTATCTGGGAAGCTGACAGAGAGAAGGAGTGAGCATGAGCATACTCCAGAAAGGCCTGCAACAGCTGGCATTGGGCGAGGCTAAAGTTGGAAGCTGGAAGCTCAGTGGCAATCGCCCTTGCAGGTGACAAGGAATCCAGGATCCAGGAGTCTGCATTTAGCAAGAATCTGGAATCAGCAGCAGACTTGGGAATCAAATCCTGGCCCATCAATGTGGGGTTGTAGACATTCCCACTCACATTTTAGTTATGAGGGCAATGCCTGCCTACTCAGTGCCAAGTAGTTCAACTATAACAAAAGAAAACAAACAGTAAGTTAATTTGCTTAGTGGCCAATAGATGTTTACAGGGTATTTTAAATAAGTTTATGAACTGTACATTGACCTGCAGAACTCCTAACTTCAGGGAGTTATTATTATTCATATTGTGGACATGAGAGTAATCCTGGTCACGCTGGGAGATCCAGGAGGCAGAACTCACTGTCTGTGATGTAATGTGAAGGTGACTCCACTTTTCTCCTTGTCTATTTCTCTTGGACAACAATCATGGTAGGTTTCACCAATTCCCATTTACTTTGATGCATTCAGGAGTCTTTTGCTCATTTATACATACGTGATCATCTCCATTTAAAAAGAAACAAAGATTTATTTATTTTTATTGGAAAGGCAGATCGGATTTTTACAGAGAGAAGGAGAGGCAGAGACAAGGATCTGATTCACTCACCAGAGGGCTGCAACAACTATTGGATGCTCAGCTGGAACAGAGCCTACTGGAGTCAAGAGCCAGGAGCTATACCCATGTGGGTTCAGGGTTGCAAGGCTTTGGTCTATCCTCTGCTACTTTCCCAGACTGCAAGCAGGGAACTGAGTGGGAAGCTAGGATATGAACTGGCACTCATTTGGATCCCAGCGCTTGCAAGCTGAGGATTTAGCCACTGAAACCATCATTCCAGGCCGTATCTCCAATTTCTTAGCGAACCCAGAACAGAGCAAAACCTGTGAAGTATCTCCACATCGCATTGAAGGCGGTTTTCCTCCTCTACTGGTTTGAGTTCTGCCTGGGGCTGCCTGCTTGCTCCAGGCTGAGGGAGCAGAGTCTTGTCTGCCTCGCACTTCTGCTTTCCTTCCTCGACTTCAGTAGTTGACTTTGATTCCTCTATGGCTGAGGACTGAGAAGGTTAGAAAGGTGAGAGAAATGCAAGGTGTCATGATAAACACTTCACCATGCTATCATACGTGCTCTTGAACTTGGCAGGAGGACTATGAACATCTACACACTGAGCTACAGGCTTCTGTGACCTGTCTGCAGAGATCTCGCTGTCCCCAGCTTCAGGCAGCCTTCCTGAGTGGTGTCTGTGACATGGTCAGGTCCAGTATCAAACGTGGGAATCTTGACAAATTCTGAGAACATTGGCCATGCCCAACCATGCCACTCCTGTCTTAGCTATTTTGGGGGTGGATAGTGAGCCCTTTGGATCTTGCTGGTGTTGGAAAAGGTGGCAGGCTGTCTCCAGGTGTAAGAAGGCACTCCATTTGCTCTCCCTGTAACTCCTTGGACCCTGGACTGGGGTGATGGAGGACTCGACAACCTCACATGGTAGAGGGGAGGCGGTGCTTACAGTATAAGCAAACCTCTTTCTTAACAAAGCTGAGACTTCATTCTTTCTCACTTCTCTGATTTCATTTGCAGACCAGCAGTGAAAGGTCAGTTCAGGTTGGACATTTGATGCTGCCCAGTTCTGTTAGCCGCTTGGTGTAATGTGGATGTCATTGTCGTTGGTGTCTCAGAATTGCACAAGATCATTTGCCATGTGATAAGTGGTCTCTGCTACTTGCTTTATCTCCATCAGTCCTCCTGATGGAGTCCTCCTTCCCGACATAATAAGGCACAGAAATCTAGAGAGGTCAAACTATTCCTGCAAAATCACCCAGGAAGTGGACTGTAAAGCTCTTCCAATGTTTATCTTTAGAAGAAGAGAGAATAACTTTGTCCATTAGCAATAAAACACTATGCATCCATCAGAGAGAAATGTTGCAGTTGCTTAATGTCTTAGCTTTTGCAATGGCAAAACATAGAATTTTGTGACAAAACTGTTAACAGCAGTTCTCACTTGCTAAGCATTTTCTTGTCTCTTATTGAATCACTTCCTAAAACCATACTGGGATGTGGGCAGCCTTGTCCTCACCACCTTCAGGCATGGAAGGTGTGACCTCCCGTACATATCTCAGAATCAGGATGAGTTCTTTCGTGGGTCTGTCTGGGCTGTGTAAATGTTTCAAGTTATTTTACGAAACTACTTTCTCATACACGTTTGCAAAACAGTCGGTAATGTAAAACAATCAAGATTTTACTAAACCCCTTGAGAGCGAATAGTGTCTTACTCATCGGGAATCCTTGAAGATTTGCACCAAGTAGATTCTGTGTTAATGAACTAATTAGGCAGACCAACAAATGAATAAGTAAATTTTTTTTTCCAATTCTCTGGTGGAAAGTAAAACTTGATATGAACCAAACTGATATATGGGAGTCTACATTCTATAAGATGACAGAGAGGAGAGGAGCCTCAGTGGATGATGTCTGAAGTTGAATTTCTAATTCTGCCATTGGAATAAAATAGGAAACGAATTGCACGAGAGTTTGTGGCAGCAGTTTCAATTCATGTCAGCATTACTTGTCTACCTGTCTTAGGGGGGGAAAGGTAGCTATCGTCCTTGTTGGAATGATAAAAATGTCCAGACACATTTTATCTCCTCTCAAAGAAGTGGGTTTTAATAGTTCCCACCATCCAGCATGGAATGAGTAACTTCTCACATTTTCAGATTCACTCTTCTGTTGCTTTAGCTATTGATTGGCTCTGGAAGAAGGGACTGAAGTGTTGTTGATGTGGTAACAAGGAGGCCTCTCAAATTCTGTGCCCCTGAGCTTTGGGGGGAGATGGATACGCAGGTGGATGGTGCTGATCAAGTGTGTGTTTTCCACAGGTCTGAGGCGCAATTACAGATGTACCATCTGCAGTGTCTCCCTCAACTCCATAGAACAGTACCATGCCCATCTGAAGGGGTCCAAACACCAGACCAAGTAAGTGCTTGCTTGCTCTCACTCCTCCATCCTTTCGGGTATACAATCAAAGGTTAGGGATTTTGTTGATTTCAACATAAGCAGGTGGAACTGATGCTTCTTTCTCTCCAGCATTTACTTGTATTTCTGCTGTTCAGCCTTCAGGAAGAATTCTGTGAATAGTGGCTTTGCCCTCTGAGGGGGACAACTAATGGGAGTTTGATTGTTGTATTTTCTTGCATTTTTTTTTCAAGGAAATTTTAGAACCGTCTGTGAGTTGGAGAAAGCTTTTACATCCCTCCTGTTTTCAAAATTACAGTACGAGCCTTGTGTGGAAGATGTGCTAGATAGTGGTGTTGCAAAGTCAACTTCAACCCGTGTCTTCTGCCACTTTCCCTTTCTGAATGAATATTGTGATTATTATAGCAATTTAGCAAGCATGCTGGGACATTAAGCTCAAACAGAAACAAAAGTAAATACAAATTTTTTCATGATTTTAAATTGGAAAAGGTTAACCAGTCATGATTTCATCTATCTTTATACATCTCTTTAAAAAATATCACCAACATTAGCTTTATGAGCATGTTAGAGGCAGCTGCTAGGACTGCTAATAAAATGCTAATAAGATAAGAAAAAAAAAACCCAAGGATGGCTCAAAAAGATGTAATTTTCATGAGCATAATTGTTTTCATTTCCCTAATATTCATTAGAAGAATCATTTAACAGATTGCACTGCACCAAGTCCTTGTGAATAATGGATGACTTCATTCAACAGACATTTGTTGAGCGCCCACTATGTGTCAGACTCTGAGACGGATGGACCTGGCAGATCCTCTGTGGAACCCTGCTGGGCTTGGGAGCAGCCGTGCCGGCACAGCCTGCTGCTCCCTCTGACCAGGCGTGTACCCAGAGATGATCAGACAGGTTTCCCAGGGACACGGGTGTCGAGGGGGACCCTGCTGAGCATGAGGGCAAGGTCGAGGTGGAGGGCATGGCAGCAACACCGAGTGACAAGGACTGCATCAATACTAATAAGTTGCTAACTACATAAATGAATGAAGCTATGTCCACCTTCGGCGGAATGGCCGGCTCTATCTCTTCCCATCTTTATATTCTCTCGTTTGTGCACTTGAAGTATCCTGGTGGATTCTTGCAAACTTAGGATTTTGTTGATTTTGTTGATTTCTGCTAAATGAGCCTTTTTATCTTCTATCATTGGGGATCTCCTCTACCCTGGTAACAACTTTGCTTCCTTCAGACAACGCTCTGGCTGGTGTTAGTGCCTGCCAATATTGGCTCTACTCCTTGTTGCTTCTGGATACTTCAAACTCCTTGTTTGGTTTAAAACTCAGTGATGCCCAGATATGGGATTGTTCTTGGTGGGAGGTTTTCTCCATCACAGAGAGAGATGGAAGTCAGTGGGATGTGAATGGCCTCGTGTCCCCCTTCAAGTGACTGTCCATGAGCATAAACATCTGGGTGTCAGGCACAGTGGAGGTCTCAGGTTGAGACTTTTAGTACTAACACATGCAGAAGTGTTGGCACGAGTTAGGATCACTAGGTTGTGCAGTGTCCAGCAGGACACTGTTAGTAGGAGAATTTCTTAGCATAGTATTGCTTTAGTGACTCCGTGCACCAGCGCATCTTTCCACCTCAGCTCTCTCCTTGCTCAGTGATGACAAGCGCGAGGCAAATTCTCCTCTCTCCTCCTTGCCTGCATTCTGGTACACCAGTCTACACGTGCTGGAGTTAAGTCTGAGCAGTCTTCTCTGAATGGGATTCCAGGGGGCCTTGGCCATTGCATGGGAACTGGCCCCTGATATGAATAATGTCTCTCCCAGTTTCTTGTCTACTCAGAACATCAGAGCATGTCCTGGAGTTGTTAATAGGGTCCTTGGAAGGAGAAACATCCTGGGTTGAAGGCAGCCAGCTAAATCCAAAGCCCAGTGTCCTTTACATGACAAGGAAAGGGTGGCGATCTGGCTAAAGGGACAGAAAAGGTCCATATATATATGGAGCCAGAAGTAGGGTGTGTTTCTACAAAGCCAGGATGAGCTGGAAGAGTGGAGAAAAAAAAAATCTTCTGTGCAGTTTTGCAAGTGAGTGAACCTCAGCTGGCACCTGAATATCACACTTCCGGTCTCCTAGGGTCTGGATTTTATTTTTTCTCTTCCAGAAAAAAAACAAATTTGTGTAGGTTTTCAGTCTAATCTCCCTTACTGTGCTTCTCCTGATGGTGAGGATGAAGATGCCAGTGGAGCTGCCCCACCGGAGTTTGGTGTGGGACATATGTGTATATGTGTGTTTGTGTGCGCGCTCGTGCGTGCTTGTCCGAATTGAAAGGCTTCCGGCATGCTCTCTGAAGCACCCAGCATCCCTGCAGCATGCAGATGCTCTTTCTCCCTTGGACAGGTGAGAAGCTGGAGTCTCAGCGAGGACGCAGCTGCTCCGAGGCCCTGGAGAGCACAGTTCCAGCTCTCTGCCCATCACCACTGTGGCTGTCTGACCACTGCAATAATCCTCGCTCACCCTTTGCTTGCCTTGACACTAATAGAGCCTTTCTCTTTTCTGGCACATGTCATAAATAGCACAATGGCAGTCAGATTCCCCCTCCATTGTTAAATAGTGAGAGAAATGTTAACTCTCTAATGAGACAAGAGGTTTTGAAATGCAAATGCAAACATGGACGGATAAAGCAAAGGCCTACTAGTAGATGTTTCAGGGCTTCCAAGGGATCCAGTCTGTCAGTACGAATGATTACGATGGAATTGGAAAGCGCAGGAGCACCTACCATGAGCTAATGAACAATTCTCCCTCAGTGTACTGAAATTTGAGCTTAGGGAACATTCTGGGCCTCAGGATGTTCTGTTACCTAAAAGGAAAGGAAATAAAAGTGCTCATTACTTACTCTGATACTTGGCTGGAAATGAGACACTAGTGTCCAGAAGGATAAATCAGAGTGATTGAGAATTAATAGCGTTTTTTTTTTTTAAAAAATTGCTTTTTCTCTGAGAAAAGCTGCACATGGTGATCTCCACTGCTTTTGCTGCAAATTTCTCTGACTGCTGTGACTCATTATGACAGAGGTCTCCTATTATGCCTTTTCCCTTTATGTTCATTTCTTTGTGAAGTCCTGGGGTGGATTGCAGGACAGCTTGCAGAGCTGGGTTCTGTTTGCTTTAAGGGTGTGGGAATTCACTTCCTGCATGTAGGGTGGTAGCACGCTACCTGAAGCACACGCCAGAAGAAGAGAGTAACGCAGTGACTAAAGCTGTTCTTGCTGCCCTCCCCGCCAACCCGACCCCCCTACCCCTGCCAAGTCTACATTGGCAGGAAGCTGGGGTCATTCCTGCTCCTCCATGTAGACTCCAGATGGTCTGATATAGGATGTGGCCATCTCAGCCCATGCCCTGGCCACAAGGGTCAGTACCTGGCGTTGAACTCTAGTTCTTTTCCGGTCCCATTTTGGGAACATGGCTCTACCAAGCATCTCTTCTCCAATAGGGTGGTATTGTGGAGGGCTACCAGGTCTTTCCTGCCCAGCACTGTCATAGAGAGGCTTCCATGAGGTGCCTAGCACAGCAGCAGGGCTTAGGTTGTGCACAGCCTTTGGCACAAAGGGCGGTTTCTACCCAGTCCTCTGTTTAATTCATAGAACTTTCAGGTCTGCTGTGGCTATGACAATGACCTCGGGTGAACTGGAGTCTACCTTCTTTAATGAAAGCAAATAGTAACCTTTGGAGAGATTCCAGAGATGCAAAAAAAAAAAAAAAAAAAAAAAAAAGATGTGTGTGTGTCTGTGTGGTCACTAATACTGAGGCAATTTCTGTTCTATTTTTCTTAAGTCTCACTTGCATGTTTTTGCAATAGATGCCATAACTAGGGATATATTAAAATTACAGAATATGACTAGACCAGGCCTTCTGCAATCTTGCAAAGGATTAAATGAGGGGCACCCTCACTTTTTCATATCGCTTCTAGAATTACTGATGACAGCTAATATCCTTTAGCTCACTCATTTCCTCTCCCTCCCTTCTTATGGGACATGCAGTCATGATTTCATCTTAGAGTTCGCTTGAGTCGTTGCTGCCTCCACAGCGGTTCTGGGCTGATGTTTTCATGCCCAGAACTCTGTTGAACTCTGGACCTCATCGAACCTTCTCGTATTCAGGTGGCCACTTAGGACCCATTGCCAAGGGTGCAGGGTCACTAGCTGACTTGATTCGGACAAGGGCTTTTGTATCAAGAAAGAGAGCAATGGGAAGGACAGTGGCCACTGGCACCTCTGTAACTTTGGCCAACCTTAAGAACTGTGTTTCAATGAACTGATTGCCATATAAGCAGGAGAGATGCAAGATTTCAGGTATCCAGTTTGGTACATCTGTACCTTCATGTGTCACGTGTATCCACCAGCCCAATCAAGACCATAACCACCTTTTTGGCCCATACATCTCCCCTACTTCAGCTAACTGTTGTCTGAGTTGTCACCATAGCTGAACTTTTTTCTGTTCTAGAGCTTAATGGGGTCATAACAGAAACATTCTTGTCTGCTTGGCTTCTTTTGTTCAACTTAGTGCTTCTCAGACTTGTTCAGCTTATTGTGTAATAAGGGAAAAGTAGGCAGGAGGACTGGGAGGAGTTGATGAGCTTGAATTTCTTCCCTTCCAGACTCGCAACTCCGCGTCTATGGGCAGACTTTCCTGTGACGCAACTCTGTCTACTCTTGGGGATCAGGGAAGGATGTGATGTTCATCATGGCCGTGTGGAGTTCAGTTCCGTGTGGAGGCACCGTGAAACCTCCAGAGAGTCCCATGTATGCTAATCTGCACTTGTCTGCATCACACCCTGTCTCATACCTGCCTGACCACATGCAGGGGCTCTTCCTTGCTCCTGGTCTGTGTGTATTTCTGTCATCTCCTCCTTGTCTCTCTCAGAGGAATTGCTCTGGCTCATGCGTAAGATGTGTATTCACTCTCTGTCTCTCTCTTTTCAATAAATTGTGCTCTCTCAAGTGAGTTATATTTA